TGAAGACGGGGCTGGGCGAGGGCTAGAGGAGAATAAGGAATGGGGGAACTTGAGGATGGGAGGAGGGCACTGGAGCCCCGCCACCATCCCCGGACCTTGGGCAGATCACCCACACTCCCGAGGCCTCAGTTTCCCCATCTGTAAAATGATGGTCATAATACTTCACCTACCTCATAGGGGAGGTTGTGAGGCCACTGTCACGTGACCTGGGGGTTGAGGCAGGAGGACTGTGAAGGTGCTACCCGGGAGCAAAGTATTATTACTGTAGCCCGAGAGCGAGGCCCACCTGCCCCTCCCCCTGCAGAGTCTCCAGGGATAGCTGAGGCCAGCCTGGGCCCATCTATCTCTTCACTGTGTCCCAGGTCCCTTCATGAGCGTCACCTGCCGTCTTTGTGGGCGCCCTAGACTTAGTTGTTATCTTGTTCAGCTTTCCTTTCTTGTGGCCATCTCCCTACGTAACTGCTGTATAAATTCCACCCGCCACAGGACCCCGCACCTGCCCACTGGCGCCCGACGCCAGGGAAGGGACAAGGAAAACAGCCACAATAAAAGCCAAGGGGGGCCCCGGAGCCCCCAGCCCGGCTGGGGCCCCAGGGGTGGGGTTGGTGGCCGTTGTTTGTATCGTGTTTGAGTCCTTGAGTGCAAGTGTTTTATATTAAAAAAAAAAAAAAGACCCACTCTCACAAAAAAAATTGCAGTGAAGAGAAATGAAGAAACACTGAAGAAAAAAAAAAAAAAGGAAAAAAGAACCATACAAAATTTTTTCCACCACACGCACCCTCTAAGCCAGCAAGATTTCCTCTTTACAAAATCATATTTTTGTGGGAATGGGCCCTGCTTTTTGTGGGTAGGGCCCGTTCTGATTAATAAAGGATCGTGACAAAGTAGGGCCTTGGCTGTTTCCTCCGTGGGTCCCAGCCCTTCCTCACCTGCCAGGGGAAGAGGCAGCCGGGTGAGGGGGATGGGGAGCCTGGGACTGAGTCTCTCCCCGTCACCTTTGGGATCTGGCTTCACTGGTGAGGAGGGCCTCCCTGAGCTTCCTGCCCATCCTCAGATCTAGAATAGGAACCCACCAGCTGCCCAGAAAGCAAGAGCGCAGCCATATTTCCTGATCAGGCCTGAAGCAAGGCTTGTCGGGACTTGAGCCTCCTTGAAGTCCTCGAGGGCACCCAGCCTCCCTCAGTCCCCAGGGGGCCATCACCACCCTCCAAGGCACGTCCGACAATCCGAAGCGGGGCCCTCCACCACCCTTACTGTCCCCTGAACGCCGGCTGGGCCACTGTGGTTTCAGACCAGTGCCTGCTTCCCGGTCCTTGCTGGGACAAGGAAAGAGTTCCAGGTCTGTCGGCTGGATCTCTGGCTTCTCTCTGCCCTTTTCTGGTTTAATTCTTTCGGATGAGGAAAGTCTCTCCCACTCAGAAGGGGCCATGGCCGGTCCCAGTCTGAGGAAACTGGGCCCCTGTGTCTTCTTTCCATAGTCACTGTGATCCCCGGCAAGTTATTTCCTCGCCCAGGGCCGGTGTCCTTAGTTCACAAAAAAGCAATAACCACCCTCTCCCCTTCCCTCCCCTCCCCACACACAGCCCGGGGGAAACTGAGGCCTGGCAGCTCTCAGGGTACTTTAGAAGGAAGGTGCTATCTGTGTCGCAGACACAAAAGGACCAAATGCACCTGATACCACGTGTCCACCTGCTAGCCCTGCCCCCTCCAGAGTGAAGGGGGCTGTCGCACCCCTGCTCCCCAGCACTGGGGGTGAGCAGCTAGCTGCTTCCTTGCGCAGCACCAAGAACCCCCACCTGAGGCTGCCCACCTTCTCCCCTTCCGCCCCATCAATTCCTTAAAACCTGGCTTAAGTGTCCCATTAATAGGTGAGGGTTGTTTTTCTTTCCCTTTTGGCTTCTGATCTCTGTCCCAGAGATCAGAGGGAGCCCTAGGGTCAGGTAAGTAGCCTCAAGAGCACGCCTTGCCAGAACTTCTGTTCGGGATCTCTCTGGAACAATGGCTCTGGAAAGCTGGGCCCCGAAGCAAGGGACAGCTCAGCCTGGCAGACGGGACAGCCTCTGCCCCGGGATCAGGGGCTCCTCCTGGACTCTGCCTTCTCCTGCCTTCACTCTGTTGGCTCTCTCTTCATCCAAGAAATTTGCCCGTTCCTCCCTGGGCCTGGGACCTCTGTCTCTGGTGTCCTCTTCCTCATGCAAGTCCCTCCTGGATGCTGCTGCTTTCTGGAAGGCCATCCTGGGCCACGTTCCGCTCTCCTCTCCCTCCCCCACCAAAGACAACAGAAGGGCAACGCTTGAACATGCTGTGTGCCCCAGCCTGTGGCTGCCCTGGCCATCCGTGTCCCTTAAAGATGCCCCGGTCCCCGTGTCTGTGTCTTGCGTGTGCGTGTATGTGTGTGTGTGTGTGTTGTGTTTTGCTTAGATTGTAAGCCCCCCTGGGCAGGGACCCCTGTCTGAATACACGTTCTGTGTGGTGCACCCAGGCGTACCAATAAATGTCCATCCTCAGACAAGAGTGCTGTGTGTCTTAAGGAAACTTTGGGACAGGCGGCTGAGCACGCCGATGCGATGGCACAGGAAGCAGGGAGGGGCTTCTGGGCAGGGTCCCCCACTCCCAAACACTGTACCCTGCTTTCCAGAGCTCCTGAGGGTGGGCGGGAAGCAGAGGATGACTGTAACAAAGTTAAGAAAGGATCCACACAACACACACACACACACACACACACACACACACACACACACCAGTCTCTGCCACTCTGCTGACCGGATCTGGCCGTGGAGAGGCTCTGGGAGAGGGCAAGAGCAGGTCCTACCCATTCCACACCGAGACCTTGACCATCAGCTGAGGAAAGAGTGGATCTCCTGTAGCGTGGATTGAGCACTGAATTAGGAGGCCCGAAACTCACTGATGAGCAAGTCCCTTCCCTCCCCGGGCCTGTTCCTAGCCCTGCCACTGCCTCTGCTCACTTGTCATTACTGTCCCCACTGCCTGCCTCCTTGCTCCTGTCCCCAACTCCCTAACACACATACAGCTCTTGGTCTCCCAAGACCCACACGCCGCTGACCGCCTCAGACCACGTGAGGCAGTGCAGACATGGCCGTCGTAACAAGTACTCCTCCAGAAGTCTTTTCCCCGTTTCTCCTTACTCCCCCAAGGCCAAGTGGGAAGTCACAGGCAGCTAGGCAGGGGGTGGGCGAGGACTCCCAATGCCATGCTCTCTTCATCACTGAGGGGGGATCTGGGATGCCCAGATGTCCTTGGCAATGGCCCCTTCCTACCCTGGTCTCTCCGTTTCCATATGGAGACAGAGATCTTCAATAGTGCTCTCAAGCCAGGCATCAGCACCCACTTGAACCAAACTCTCGAAGTTCCCAGGAGGAACTGGTTCCTGGTGATGGAGAGCACGCAAATAGCAAAGCCGGGAACTGAGGGTTACTCGTGTGGCCTTTGTCCCCCCTCGAGTTCTCAGGCGAGTGCACCAGGGAAAGAGGTACAGGGAAACACACCAGAGAGAGGAAGGAAATCCGGGCTATTAGTCCAGAGTGAATATGGCTCCTTCCGCACCCCGACTTTCCCCTACATCTAGGATTTGCGTGAAAGGAAGGTAGACAAACACTGTGTAGCATCAGATCTGAATAAACCCAACACCGTGTAGGCAGATGGGGAAACTGAGGCCCAAGGGATCATGACTTGCTCAAAAGCACTTGGCCACGAGCAGAACTGGGACTGGAACCTTCTGAGTCCAGCCCCCAGAGCTATTTCCTCTAAGCTAGGGTATGAGTCAGGGAGCAAAAGAAAGACAACAGCTCTGGTCACTGCAGTTGCTACCTCGAGTGATCTGAGATCTCAAATTCCTTCCTCCAAGTTTCCAGACCCTAGAAAGGCCCACTGGCCCTGATGGAGCCTCATCAAGGGGAACATGGGCCCCTGAGGAGCCCTGGGAGGGATAAGGTCTGTGGCCAAGCCCCAGACACCTCTTCCTCTTTAAGCAGGAGTCAGCCTCCAATCTTTCCCACCCACCAGCATTTCCTGTCCTTTGCTTTTGTTTTGTTTTTTATGTTTTATGTTTTTTATGTTTACTTCTCCTTTTTGAGAGCGAGCAAGCAGGGGAGGTGCAGACCGAGGGAGAGAGAGAATGCCAAGGAGGTTCCACGCAGTCAGCGCAGAGCCCGATGTGGGGCTCGAACCCACAAACCGTGAGAGCACGCCCTGAGCCGAAACCAACCAACCAGCCGCCCAGGTGTCCCTCCTCTGACCTTTCAATGGTCTTCTCTTTAACTTGCAAGCTGACTGTTCCAGATCCATCCCCTGCCTCCTTCTAAGCCAGGCCCAGTCCAGTGACCAACAGAGCTGCCTGGCCGGACTTGACCTTTGGGCTTTGTATGACATCAGCCGTGTTGCCATGGCGATGGTGACCTGGCAGCATCTTCTCATGGGAAATGGGCCTCTAGGCTTGAGGTGTTATCATTGTTTCTTTACATCTTTTTTTCCCTCCCTGAACAATGAGGGGAGAAAGTAATACGATGCCTGAGTAAAAAAAATAATAAAGAGGGAGAGGCTAAGCAAAAGGAAAATGGAGCGAGGGAGACAGAAGAAGGGAAGAACAGAACCACAGCGGGGTGGGGGCGGGGGTGAGTACTAGTGAAAGGAGAGAGAAAGGTCAGCCCAGCTTGAGGGAGATTCGAATTATACGGAGAGTCAGGAACCTAAGAATTAAGCTGGAGAGGACAGAAAAGGGGGTGAGAGGGGTGCCCGGCAGGCAGAGTCCATTAGAGCGAGACAGGAGACCAGCCTTGAACAGCCAAAGCTATTTGTGACTTGAGGACAAGCACTTTTTCCCCAGACAGGATACAACTGTTGGCCAGGGCCGATCTGACGCAGAGCACATGGGGCACATGAGCAAGAGGGCAGTGCCAGAGGGAGCCCAGGTTCCCCACAGCGATGGGACCCGGTGCTCCCTCCCAAGGCTTATAAATAAACAGGCATGTGGGAAACGCACATTCTTTCTCCAAGAAATATAATTTATGTTTACAGCCAGTTTTTTTTCATCCTAAAGAAAACACTAACGCGTGGGGCCCCTGCCCCGCCAGTGTCCCTGAGTGTCCCTGGCCCTGGCCCCCTCCTCCCATTATTGCTTGGATGGGAAAGATCTGGCCCTGGGGGATTGCAGAGGACCCCCACTCCTCACCCCCTGAGGCTTGTCCCTGGTGACGGAGTGGAGGCACACAGGGCTTGTCCCATGCCCCACGCCGTGCCAGCTACCCTGACTGTGCCCATTTAAGGGAATGGAGAGTGCAGGCAGTGGGAGAGGCTGGGGGGCAGCCTCCCAGGGCAGAGAGCCTCTCTCTTCTGCGCAGAAGGCCCTACAGGCACAGTGGCTTCTTTTCAAACTTGACAGCTGGAAGGTTCAGGCTGCAGGGAAAGGAGAGAGCTCGCTTCTCCCAGCAAGCCTCCAGGCACACGCCTAGAGAACAGAACAGAATCAAGGTGGGGGTTAGGGGTGGTGGAGACCCTGCCTTCTAAGAGCCCCCCTTCCCCATGCAAATTTGAGGGCCCGGGGGAGGGAGGGTGTGCAGATGAGCCCCAGTGGAGGGGCGAGGGCAGCTTCGGGGTTGGGGCCCCAATCCCAGTTTGCCACTTCTGTCCCGGGCGCAGGCCCCAGTCCCAAGCCCCTGCCCGCGTGGCCCAGGCCCTTCTCCAAGGGCAGTTCTGACTCACACAGGCGTGTGGACCACCCCAGAGGTAGCGGCTCCCGCACGGGAAAGGGTAGGGTCTAGGAGATCCAGACTCCAGGAGGAAGGGGTTGGTGCGGCAGCCTGGGTATCCAGACTCAGCCAGTGGAGAGCCGAGACCCTCGTTTCCAGGAGGAAGCCAACATCTCTACTGTGGTGTCCGTGACTCTATCAGAGGATCAGACATCTAGGGAACTAGACCGAGTCGGGACTTCTCAGGCTGAGGACTGCCCAGAGATCAGCCATGTAGAGGTCTCCTTACCAAACAGGAGTATGTGAAGACGGCCCCCAGGCCTGCCTGTCCCTACGGCTTGCCCAGAGTGGTCCCTCCGCGGCCCCCGGGTAGGGGTCCACCGTTCCCGCAGACCTTCCCGGAGCCCCTCCTCCCAGAATGGCCGAAGTCCATCACCCAGAGCACAGGCTCAGGTGCCCAGGCCTGGGGCAGCTTCCAGGGCGGGGAGGCTGCCCCCCGCGGGCCCCAGAGCCCGGGAGCTACCGCCCCCTATGAGCAGGTCTTCCTCCTCCTCATCCTCAAAAGCCCGAGCCGGGCGCCGGGGCGGCGGCCGGGGCGTAGGCTCGTCGCGCTCGGCCATGCGCTCGACCGCGCCCTCGCCCACGAGGAAGACGGTGTCTGCGACGCGCGGGGGCCCGGTGACCGGGTTGTGGTCGTAGGAGAAGACGCGCAGGGCGCGCAGCGGGTGCAGGTCCGGGAAGCCGCCCAGGCGGTTGCGGTCCAGGTCGAGGATGTGCAGGCGGCCCATGCGCAGCAGCGCGGGCGGGAACTCCTCGAAGCGGTTGCCGTAGAGCCAGAGGCCGCGCAGGCCCGTCATGCGCGGCAGCTCGGCGGGCAGCGCGCGCAGCCGGTTGTCGCCCATCTGCAGCGACTGCAGCGCCACCAGGCGCAGCAGCGGCCGCGGGAAGCGCCGCAGGAAGTTGCCCTCGATCCAGAGGCAGCGCAGGCTCTGCAGCTGCGCGAAGTCCGCGGGCAGCGCCAGCAGCCGGTTGCCGCCCAGGTAGAGGCGCGTGAGGCGCGGCAGGCGACACAGGCCGTCGGGCAGGCGCTCGAGCTTGTTGAAGTCGAGCGCCAGGATGCGCAGCTCGCGCAGCTCCTCGATCTCCTCGGGCAGCTCGCGCAGCCCCGTGCCGCTCACGTACAGCTTCTGCAAGCGGCTCAGCGCGCACACGGCGCTGGGCAGCCGCCGCAGCCGCCTCCCGCTCAGCTCCAGCTGCTGCTCGCCGCTGCGCAGCTGCTCCTCGGCGTCCGACGGCAGCTCGTCCGGCGTGGACTCGGCGATGCCCATGGTCACGGGCCCCGGCCGGGGCCGCCTCCGCCGCCGCCGCCTCCCGGCATCGCCCCCGCCCCGGCCGCTCCCGGGCCTCCCCGACGGGGCCGAGGCTGCGCGCGTTCCGGGGTGGGGGCCCCCCGCCCCGGCCTGCCTCTGCGCCGGGAGGGGGGGCCGGGCCGGGAGGAGGCGCCCGCTCGGGGCCCTGCCGCCGCCGCCGCGCCCCGCCGCCCGCCCTCGGGCCTCCCCCGCTCCCACCGCCGGCGGCCGACTGCCTCGCGTTCGCGCTTCCTCGCGGCTCCGCGACCCGTCGCCCTGGCAACCCCCGACGCGAGTGCGGCTGCCAATGAGGCGGCGAGGGGGGCGGGGCCGGGCGGGGCCAAGGTGCCACCTAAGTGGGGTCCGGGTGCCCGGGCCCGCCCCTCGCCGGCTCAGGCGACCCGTCCGGAAGCTCGCGCGCACCCGGGGAACCCAAAGTCCGCGCCGCGAAAGCCTGGCACCGTGCCAACACAGACTCGACGTCCGACGCTGTCTACACCTCTGGCCCCGAGAGCCTTCTGGCGTGCGCGGTGGTGTGGAAGCCGGAGCGGCAAGTAGGAAAGAACCGCGGACCTTGTAGACCCGGCGCGAGACCAGAACTCTGGCCAAGTGGCTCTCGGGGAGGGACTGAGGGGCGCGGGCAGGGCCGGCTTGCTCCCATTCTCGTCGCTGGGGTCACGTTAGGATAGTAACTCGGAACAGTGTTACTCTCTGGCCCTTTCCGCGGTGGGTCGCGTCTGAGGATTTGTGGGGACTTGGCTCCGCCCCCAGTCCCCGCCCTCATTGCCCAGCAGGTTCCTTGTGAGTGTATTCGCACTCCAGTCCCCTGCCGCACCCCTCCCCTGCGGCTGTGTGCGAGGTCTGTGCGTGGCTGCGGTGGGCAGAGGACTGGGACACGTGAGCTCCTTTGAGCGCCACCAAGGATGACCACTCTGATTCTGTAACTCTCTTGCGCATGCTCCCACCAACGGCGGCCTGCCGCTGCCTTCTCCCCTCGGGTTCAGATCTTGGCAGAAACACCCGCTCCCATTTACTGCGAGCTGCCATGTGCCCTGCGCTGTACTGAGGGCGTTGTAGTGAATCTTTGCAACACGTCTGACGTGCTAGGTACCCTCAATACCCCAGTTGTAAAGGTGGAGAAACCGAGGCTCTGAGGGTTTGATTTGAGCTGGGGGACTTGCCCAAGGTCACCCCGCTGGTGAGTGGCTGGGATCTGTGCTCTTAATCACGTAGCACATCAATAAAGAGAAACAATGGTGGGGCGCCTGGGTGCCTCGTCTGTTGAGTGTCCGACCTCAGCTCAGGTCGTGATCTCACGGTTTTAGGAGTTCGAATCCCACCTTGGGCTCTGTGCTGACAGCCCAGAGTCTGGAGCCTGCATCCCATTCATGTGTCTCCCTATCTGCCCCTTCCCTGCTCGTGCTCTGTCTCTGTCTCAAAAATAAACAAACATTTAAAAAATTAAAAGCAAAAAATTAGAAACAATGATGATCCCATTCATTGCCCAACTGTGGCAATGAATTTTCTCACAAGGGAGAGAAAACTACATGCCAAAACTACAAGGAAAGCATCATTAATGCCATAAGGAAGATGAGGAAAGTGGCCCTAAGGGGATTAGGGAACTTGCTTAAGGTCACACCGTGAGTAGAAGTTACAGCCAGGCAGCGGAGTCTGCAAGTTCAGTGCCTCCTCTATTCTGCCTTCCCTTGACCCTGGCTTGTGTGACCATGTAAGTGACTGTGTACAGGCAGCAACCTATCCTTCAACCCACCCCCATTCCCAGAGAACAGTGGCCAGCGCAAGGTGTGGATAAGAACCACTAAGCTGTAATGTAAGCTTCCCCGGGAGTGGGGGGGGAGGGGCAGATAAGTATGTCTTCTTCCCTGCAGGGACAGGTGTTTGGCACATCGTAAGTATTCAGTGAACATTTTTAACTTTTTAAAAATGTTTATTCATTTATTTTTTTAATAAATTTTTAAAATTTATTTTATTTCTAGGAGAGAGAGAGAGACAGCGTGAACAGGGGAGGGTCAGAGAGAGAGGGAGTCACAGACTGAAACAGGCTCCAGGCTCTGAGATGGCAGTCAGCACAGAGCCCGAAGCAGGGCTCGAACCCACGAACCTCTAGATCATGACCTAAGCGAAAGTTGGACGCTTAACTGACTAAGCCACCCAGGCACCCCTATTCATTTATTTTTGAGAGAAAGAGAACGAGCGGGGGAGGGAGACAGAGAATCCCAAATTTGTTCCATGCTGTCAGCACAGAGCCCAACACAGGGCTTGAACTCATGAACCGTGAGATCATGACCTGAGCGGAAATCAAGAATTGGACGCTTAACCGACTGAGCCACCCAGATGCCCCACATTTTTAACAGTTTTTAAGTGGAGACAAAATTTACATGGAGTGAAATGCATCGATGGCGAGTGTATGGTTTGATGAGTTTTGACAAATGTAAACACCCGTGTAATATTTCCATCACTCAGAGTTCCCCTGTGCCTCTCTGTCAATCCCCACCTCCCACAGGCAACCACGAGTCTGACCTTTATCATCATGGATCAGTTTTGCCTTGTCTTGAATTTTATATAAATGAGTTTATTCAGTGCCAAATTTCTTTTTTTTTAATGTTTTATTTATTTCTAGGAGAGAGAGAGAGAGACAGCGTGAGCAGGGGAGGGTCAGAGAGAGAGGGAGATACAGACTCTGAAATTGGCTCCAGGCTCTGAGCTGCCAGTCAGCACAGAGCCCGATGTGGGGCTCGAACCCACGAACCGTGAGATCATGACCTAAGCGAAAGTCGGATGCTTAACCGACTAAGCCACCCAGGCGCCCCTCAGTGCCAAATTTCTTCCTTCCTTCCTTCCTTCCTTCCTTCCTTCCTTCCTTCCTTCCTTCCTTCCTTCCTTCCTTCCTTCCTTCCTTCCTTTCCTTCCTGACTTCTTTTGCTCGATACACAATATATATTGGTTGGATAAAGGAAGGAAAAGGCATGGGGTGAACAGGTGATGAGAAAGAGAGGTAGGTGTTGCTCTGAGCCAGGAGCCAGCCACGGACCCCTATCCTGGGAGGGACATTAGCAAAATGAAGGCAGGACTTAAGCCAAGGTAGGGGATTCAGGCAGAGACTAACTGGAGCCCAGACACCACACCTGGAGCGTGGAGGGTTCTGAGCTCCTTCTAGACCTCCCCTAAGCCTCAGTCCATCTCTCTCTCTCTCTCTCCTCATTTGGGAGAACTCTGTGGAAGAGGTGACACCTCAGAGGCTTAGAAAGCTGAGGAAATGCCAGCCAGGCTGCAGGGGAAGACGCTGGGCACCTCCCCCCTCCACCCCCCCCCCCCAAGCAGTTTCCCCAAGGGAACATTCGCTGTGGAGGAGGCAACCCAGTCAGCCCCCGCCCCTCACCACATGCTCAGAGCTGGCACTCCAGCACCAGGCAGCCTCGTGGGCTCTGCTGGCATGGACAGCAGCCATGGGAGCCCCTGCAGCCCAGCCCCAGCCTGGCAGAGCTTTCTGGGTTCAAGGGCACAGGGGACCCACCCGCTTTTTTCTCGGAGGCTTTTTCTTGCTCCGAGTAGATCATGTACCTTCACCTCCCACCAGGCCCTTCTCAGTGGGTAAAGGTAAAATGTGCTGGCGTTCCGGGCCCACGCAGGCTGGCATCGGGGCAATCATGTTGATGAATCACGCTGGCGCCGCGGGCGCCCAGCCCTTATGGAGCGTCACTAATGAATTAGCTTCACCCCCAGCACGGGGCCTCTCAGCCTGTCCCTGCTCCCCAGGAAGGCAGGAAACTGAGACCTGGGAAGGGGGAGCAGCGAGGGCGGGATAGAGGGCTCTGCCCCCCCCCACACACACACCGGAAACAGACTCAAGTGCGGGTCCCTCGGTCCCCCAGATAAAGCTTCTCTATGCCTAATCCCAAACTCTAGCTGCCTTCCCCACCTCCAAATCCATGGGGTTTTTTAAATAAATTTTTGAAATACAGAAAAAGTACAAAGCTCTCTGTGATAAACACCCCTGTGCCCTGCATCCAGCATTGACAATTGTTCACATTTTGTCACACTTGCTATCCGTCTATTTTCTTGTATATAAAAAGAAGAAAGCGGCACGTGTAATAAGGAAGTTTCCCTGCCGTGTTCCCACCCACAGGCAGCCTTTCCCCACCAGGCTGACCCTGCCAAGGCCCCCTCTTTGGGGCCAGGACCCCGGTGGCTGCTGAGACTAGAATAAGATCATGGAATGTCAGCATCGTGGGTTCTTAGAAAGTAAGGATTTGAGCCTAGTAGATCCGACCATGAAACACCTGCGTAGGGCCGGTACTTAGTTCTGTTAAATGTCTGCCAGGAGTTAGTGACCCTCACCCTGGAAAAATGCATGGAGGCGGGAACTCGCCACTGATATGCACAATTGGCTCATGGTCTCCTGGGTCCAATTCTTTCTTTTGGAGAAAAAGGAAATTGACACTGTCCTTCATGCCAGGCTCACTCCCCCAATCTGCACCCCTCCTGAACTTGAGTCCTTGCTTCCACTCAGGTATTCATTCAACAAACATCATGAAGCCCCTATATATATGCCTAGGCACTGAGGATTGCTGTGAATGTGAACGTTATAGACCAAAAAACTCTGTCTTTGGGGGCGCCTGGGGGGCTCAGTCAGTTAAAGCTTCTAACTTCAACTCAGGTCATGATCTCAGTTTGTGAGTTCGAGCCCTGCATCGACAGCAAGAGCCTGCTTCAGATCCTATCTCCCTCCCCTACTTACTCACTGTCTCTGAAAGATAAACATTTTTTTAATTAAAAAAAAAAAAAAATCCCTGACTTTGTAGAACTGTGTCTCTGTAAGTGGAGATCATCAACAAAACACATTCACAGTGTGTCAGGCAATGGTCAGGCTATGGAAGAAATAAAGCAAGGAAGAGACAGAGAGAGGACTGAGGGCCCCATTCAAAACAGAGTGGCTGGGGGCGCCTGGGTGGCTCAGTCGGTTAAGCATCTAACTTCAGCTCAGGTCA